GGAATTGCTGGGTGTGTGTGTTGCCATAAGTGTGGGTGTCAGTGTGGGTGTCTGTGTGGGTGTTAGCATAAGTGTTGGTGTTAGTGTGGGTGTTGCGATAAGTGTGGGTGTGGATGTTGGTGTAAGTGCGCTGAATTCCGGAATTCTGTAGGAAGTGATAAATGGAATTTCGGGAATTAGATGGAATTGGTTCCGTGAGCGGTACTGGTTCCGGAATGTTCAGCATTGCGGAATAGGATGTATTCTCTTTGGATAGAATTAGTATAGAACTTATATGAATTTATATAAATTTATATGGAATTATTCGATACCATATCAGTAAAGACAATAGAACGAAAACGTACTAAAAATAGATACGATATAAGTAGAGACAGAGACAGAAAAAGGAAAATACATGGAAAAGCAGTAAACAAGCAGTATACATTTACACCCAAATATATTACTGAATAGTGAGCAACATATCCACTCATATTGGTATTTAAAATTATCACCGTGGCTCCAAAACTGGACAACGCATCCATGCTCAAATTGATTAACGTCGCTCCTGAAACAGGAACAAGTTCCTCGACTCTGTCGTGAAGTTGGACCCATCATTGACAACAAATTCGCGATCGCATCGACTCAGAGAGAGAGAGCTCGAACAATGGAATATCGCGATCAAATGCCCAAGCATTTTAAACCACTGTCGTCTTTTAAATTTCAAATTTTGTATTTGTTTCTTAATTTCCATTTTCATTTTTTATTTTCATAATATTTTAATCTTAAATTATATTTATCCTTATTTGTTTTCCTGTTCCTATTCCTATTTTTATTGTGCTAAATCAAATGTAGAACCCTGAAGAGTGTTTCAATATTTTAATGATAAATGAACATGAAACGCGTCGGCAAAATAAATCTCTACATTTATTTTATTATTTTCTTATATTTAGAACATAAAGAAATTATTTTATTTTCAACTGAAATTCGATTTTGATCGGTTGCTGAAAAGCAAGTGTTGAGACTAGCAAATTGATTTGTCTTTTCGTTAAGAGATAGATTGATTTGTTTTTGAATTGATTTAAGTATACCCGCATAGAATTAACTTTGTTTCGAATGAATTCTTCGGAATTTCTAAATCGTAACGAGTGCCATTTGAAAATTCTCTTTGCTGAGATAAAATATCGATATCATGGCAGCTTTACACACCCACACACACCCACCCCCTAATTACAATGAAATCATCAAATTTGAAGAAACTCTAGTTTCTGATTATCTAAGACATATTGGTGAATTTTGGAAATATATTACCGGATTATGTTTATTGGCTGGTGAAAATGGCATTGAAATATTACGTCAATTCAATAATGGATTATTTGACAAACCATTTGTATATCATCGTCGACTTCATATACCTTGTCGGAATATTCCACATCCGAAAAGAAATAAAAAAATAATTAAATATCGTAGACAAGAATATAAAATATTACATGAAACTTTAAAAAATTGAACCCTTCTGATTAAAAATGTTTAATAACTTCAATCATATAAATAATCCATTGTTATTTCTGTTCTAGATAACATGAATACCAACAATATTGATCATCAACCTCATTGGGATGAATTACTTTCGCAAACCGAATTACGACGAATCAGAGAAGAAAACAAATGGAATCACATTCAACAACAACAACCAAAGAAGAAACGACGCTGTTGTGGTAATCGAAAGTTACAACGCTTCCGAAAGGCGTGTCGAGCACAAGGATTGACTGAGCAAAGAATAAAAATGCTGATAGAAATGCAACAGCCTCTGGATTACAACATAGACAATAAAAACCGACAAGACGATGCTTCTACATGGAATCCAAGTCATACAATCAACATTTCAATGAATAAAAATCAGGTATGATGAAATAAAACAAAAAATGATAAACTGATTTTATTTTCTTCTTTTTTTATAGAATCAATTCAATAAATGTCAAACTACTAGGATGATTCCATCTTCTACATCAATACAACCAATGAAAGTCCATCATCTATCAAAGGAAGATTGGAGACAATCATCTCAACTAATACCAAATTATAACCGATTGTCACGTGATACATTTAAACAGTTAATCTTGAAAAACATTCATAGCATTTATCATGATCAAATTCAACAATGTTTAGCATGTATTCAATTGTTAAAATGTGTTCAACGACTTGCTAATTTATGGTGTCATTTTTTTCAATTGAAAATTGAAGAAGATTATTGGAATTATTTAGATAACTTGCACCTACTTGTCATGGTTTGGTTATCCGAAGATGTATCGAAAGAAATGATTCAACGAAATTCTATCGATTGAGATTCTGGGAGAACAAAAACGAATATTCGACATAAAAAACATTAGTTCAAAACAAACTACAACGAACGGAATATAATTTGTCGAAGCATCAATCTCAACTTTCATCCAAGTTCAACCTACAAAATGAAATATATATGAAGAATTCGATCGACATCGTGTTTAAAACGTTTGCTATTATTCTACAGAATGATTTGAATTCTTTCCATGTACATTTTGAACAGAAGAAACTCTTGTTACACTTCAATTTTCATGATGCATATCTGGTCAAATCATTTTATGATTTAAATCTAACTGAAAAACAAGTTCGCATTTCATTCACTTCGATCATTTGTTCTATGTAAAATATTTTATATTCTATTCAAGATTCATCTTGTTCAACAAATTTGGCAAACAAAATTAAATTCATGTAAACAACTTCTCCGTGAAAAAACGAAAACAATTTTTCCTGATAACAATCCAATAGTCAATATGAATCTATTGTCCATCGATGATTTTGTTCCTGTCATGCTTGCCATTATTGAAGCACGTCTCGTCACTCTTAAACAACGTACACAAGTCATCAAGGAATTTATCAACACTCCTTCTCAATAATAAAAGAATACTTTTTATTATATAATTATATAAATATCTAATAGAAATGTTTCTTTTTTTTTCTTTCTCTTTATATAGCTGGAAATTCATACTTATAACTAGGTTGTTATTGTTCTAGATTATATCATCGTATTTAGGAATTTACCTTGTGTTATTCTCATTCGATTTCAAGTAATTATGACAACATCACCACATGTCTATTTGTTTGCTAAATTCATTTCTTTTTATTTCAGATATAATTCTTTGTCTTTCTATT